TGAACATGGGAGAAGCTCAAAGAGTGACATTGAAGGAGTTGGGCACTTTGGGTGCTTACAAGTATGAGAGAGGGATTGTTCCATTGTTGGTTCCGGATAATGATTTGAAATCAAACCAACTATGATTACTTTGATCGAGAGGAAACAATTCGGTGGTACAAAAAGTGAAAATCCTCTCAATCATCTCAAAGATTTTGAGAAGTATTGTAATAAAATTATGGTAGCCGAAGTTTCTCAAGAGTATATAAGGCTCAATTTGTTTCCCTTCTCTCTCATTGGAAGAGCTTTATAGTGGTTGGACAAGGAGGTCAAACCAAGGTCCCTAAGGACATGGGATTAAGTTACCAAGGCTTTTTTATCTCGCTTTTTCCCAAAAAAGAAAACGGCGGAATCTAGGGCTTTGCTCTAAAGTTTCAAGCAAGGGCCTAGTGACAGTCTCTATGAAGCATGGGAGAGGTATAAGGAGTATCAACAAGAGTGTCCACATCATGGGATTCCTACACAAATCTTCTATGGTGGGTTGAGTTCTCAAGGAAGAGCAAGCTTAGATGCCGAAGCTGGAGGCCCGATAATGAACAAAACGGAAGAAGAAGTGGTGTATGCAATAGATGAAGTGGTGAAACATTATATGAATTGGCAAGAGGTGGAGAAAGAGCCAACTAGCAAGGGGTACTTGATCGAACAACTCAATGCCATCAACGATTTTACCACTCTAATTTCGGATTTAGGGAAAGAGGTTGTATCCCTCAACGTCAATCTTGAGAGTCCTCTTCGCAAGCTCTGATTCTTCCCTCCCAAAATAAGGGGAAAGGTACACCTTCTTACCCTAAAACTTTTCCTTCTTCTTGTTGCATGATTAGAGAATGTTGGCCTTGTGATTTATGTGAAATGAATGATCATGATGCCTCTATGTGCCCCAATGTTCCTTGTGATGAATGTGATGGAATCGAAAATGAGCATGTGAATTATGTTGATAATCATAATTTTGAACCTAGATTTGAGGATCAAAGAAATGTTGGAAATAGGAATTATCACAACCAAGCGAACTATGATAATTATAATCAAAGTGGTGGTTGTAGAAATCATGGAGTCCAAGAGATTCGTGGTAGCTGTAACAATCATGGTTATAATGGTCAAAGTCATGGCCGAGGGCATGGGGATCATAATCGAAGTTATGGTAACCATAGTCAACATCATGGCCAAAATCAAGATAGGGGTAATTGGAATAATCAAATTAGGGGAAATTTTCAACCTAATGTTCAAAGAGGTACCCCACTTGGAACCATTCCAAATACTCAAGGCCCAAGTGATAATTTCTATGATCAACCATTTTCTTCTAGGAGTTTCTTGTAAGAGGTTTTTGAGAAACAAGACAATTTGCTAGAATCTTACATAGCCGTGAATGATGAGAAGTTTAATGACATGTTGACTCAAAATAAGGAGTTAGGAAACCGACTTTCTCAATTGGCTAGTGATTTTAAGGAATTTATGAATTCTTCTTCTTCTTTGACTTCATTGAGCTTAGATTCTAAGAACCCTATGGATGCAATTGTTACTAGGAGTGGTAGAGTCCTTAAGAGTGGAGTACCTAAGAAGAGTGATGCTAGAGAGAGTACTAGCATGAGCCCGATAAAGATTGAGGGAGATCAGAGTCCCATAATTGAGAAAATTGATGAGGAACAAGTAGAAAGAGTGAAAGAGAAACAGAAAGAACTTTACAAGCCCAAGCTCCCTTATCCCCAAAAGTATAATAGGCACAAATTGGATGAACAAATTGGGAAATTCATAGAGATGCTTAAGCAACTTCATCTAACTCTTTCATTCACCGATGTGGTAGAACAAATGCCAAACTATGCTAAGTTCCTTAAAGAAATTTTGAGTGGAAAGAGGACATTTGATATGGCGGAAACTATTAGCCTAACCGAGAATTGTAGTGCGATCATAATGAATAAGATGCCACCTAAGTTTCAGGATCCCGGAAATTTCTCTATCCCTTGTGCTATTAATAAGATTCAAATTGATAATGCCTTATGTGACTTAGGAGCTAGTGTTAGCCTTATGCCATATTCGGTCTATCAAAGACTAGAACTAGGGGAATTTTTACCTTCCAAGATTACATTGCAATTAGCCGATAGGTTGATAAAGATCCCAAAGGGTAAGGTAGAAGTTGTTCCCTTGAGGGTGGGAAAATTTGTCATTCCGATAGATTTTGTAGTGTTGGATATGGATGAAGATGCTACTATCCCTATCATCATAGGAAGACCATTCCTTGCTACATCGGGGGCTATGATTGACGTAAAGAGTGCTAAGATATCTCTTAAGATAGGAGATGAGGTAGTTGAGTTTTATTTGAATGAAGGTATGAAATATCCCTCTTCTTCTTTTGAATATTGCATGAGTGTTGAAGTTCTTGATAATATTGTGCAATCCATGCATGAGCACTTTCTCACATCTAATGATCCTCTTGAGTGTATCTTTTTTAACAAATAAAAGATAGGTGCTCCTAGCAAGGAAGTGAAATTGTATGAAGATTTTCTTGATGGAAGCATTGAAGGAAGTGATGAACAAATTTGCATGGGGATATCAAGTCAAGATGCTTTGCAAGTGGCCTCGACCAAAGAAGGTAAAGGTGTGCCTATGGTAGAGCTTAAACCTCTACCATCACACCTTAGGTATGAATTCTTAGGCCCAAATTCTACTTATCCCGTAATTGTTAGTGCATCCTTGAGTGAGAGCCAAGCTCAAGCGCTATGTGATGTTTTGAGAAAGCACCAAGGTGCTTTGGGCTATACCATTGATGATCTCAAGGGTATAAGCCCCGCTTTGTGTACGCATCATATACCGCTTGAGGAAGGCACCCTTCCCTCTATTGAACGACAACGTAAGCTAGATCCCCAAATGGAGGAGGTAGTGAAGAAAGAGATCACCAAGCTTTTGGATGCGGGAATCATATTCCCCATCTCAAGCTCTAGGTGGGTCTCTCCCGTTCATGTCGTTCCAAAGAAGGGGGGTATGACCGTAGTCAAGAATGAGAAAGGAGAGCTTATTACGACTAGGACGGTCTTAGAATATATGTATAGACTATAGACGTCTAAACATATCTACCAAGAAGGATCACTTTCCACTTCCATTCATTGATCAAATTCTTGAGAGACTAACAAGGCACAAGTTTTATTGCTTCCGTGATGGTTACTCGGGATTTTTCCAAATCCCAATTGACCCCGTCGATCAAGATAAGACAATGTTCACATGCCCTTATGGGACCTTTGCCTATAGGATGCATGATGAGCATTTTTGGAGGTATGTTGGAGGAAGAAATGGAGGTTTTTATGGACGATTTTTTCGTAGGGGGGGTTTCGTTTGAGGATTGCCTTGAGAATCTTGTAAAATGCTTAGCAAGGTGTGAGAAAGTGAACTTAGTGTTGAATTGGGAAAAATGCCATTTCATGGTGGATGAAGAAATAGTGCTTGGACAGTAAATCTCTCATAAAGGAATAGAAGTGGATAAGGCCAAGATTGAGGTTATTGAGAAACTTCCACCCCTGGTGAATGTAAAGGGAGTGAGATCATTTTTGGGGCATGCGGGCTTCTATAGAAGATTCATCAAGGATTTCTCACTCATTGCCAAGCCCCTCAATGACCTTCTCCTAAAAGATGTTGATTTTGTGTTTGATGACAATTGTTTGGAGGCATTCAACAAATTGAAGAAAGCTTTGACTTCTACTCCCATTGTCCAAGCCCCTAGGTGGGATTTGCCTTTCAAGCTTATGTGTGATGCTAGTGATACGGCTATTGGGGGTGTGTTGGGTCAAAGGGTTGATAAGAAGATCCATGTCATCCATTACATGTCGAAGACCCTCAATGGTGCTCAAAGTAATTACACAACAACGGAAAAAGAGTTCTTAGCAATTGCTCATTCCTTTGAAAAGTTTTGTTGTTACTTGTTGGGGTCCAAGACTATTGTGTTCACCGGTCATGCGGCTTTGAAATACCTCTTTGGGAAAAAGGAATCTAAGCCAAGGTTAATTCGTTGGGTTCTTGAGATCCAATCTTTTGATCTTGAGATTCGAGACAAGAAAGGAGCGGAAAATATGGTTGCGGACCATTTATCTAGACTTGAGGATTTTCATGTCCAAGATGATGGGTCCCCTATTAAAGATCGAATGTTGGACGACTTCTTGTATTCAATAAATGTGAAGGAACTCCCATGGTTTGCCGATTTGGTTAATTACCTTGCTTATGGGGAGTTTCCTCCTTCTTTTTCCAAGAATCGTAGAAAGAAGTTTAAGAGAGAAACTAGGCACTATGTTTGGGATGAGCCGATTTTGTATAAGAGAGGTGTTGATGGTTTGTTACGTGGATGTGTGCCAAATGAGGAAATACCAAATATGTTGAAGATGTGCCACTCTGATCCTAGTGGTGGACATATGGGTGTTTCTAGAACAACTTCTACGGTGCTTCAATGCGTATTATGGTGGCCAAACCTCTTTAAAAACACTTGGGAATTTGTCAAAAGTAGTGACCGATGCCAAAGGACCGGGAACATTTCAAGGAGGAATGAGATGCCCCAACAACCCATCCTTAAGTTGAAAATTTTCAATGTTTGGGGAATAGATTTCATGGGTCCTTTCCCTTCTTCATATGGGAATCAATACATTCTTGTTGCCGTTGATTATGTGTTAAAATGGGTTGAAGCTATTGCTTCTCCAACAAATGACCATAAGGTGGTAATGAAGTTGTTTAAAAAGATAATATTCCCAAGGTTTGGCATACCCAAGGCGGTTATAAGTGACAATGGGTCTCATTTTGTGCATAGTGCTTTCCAGAAGATGTTAAAGAAACATGGGGTAAACCAACATTTTGGGCTCCCTTACCATCCTCAAACTAGTGGGCAAGTTAAGGTGTCCAATCGTCAAATCAAGTTGATACTTGAGAAGACGGTTACAAGAAATAGGAAGGATTGGTCAAATAAGCTTGATGATGCCTTGTAGGCATATAGAATGGCCTTTAAAACTCCTATTGGTACCACTCCTTACCGCTTGGTTTATGGTAAATCTTGCCATCTCCCGGTTGAGCTTGAGCATCGTACTCATTGGGCAATAAAAAAAGATCAATTTTGATTGGGCAAGTGCGGGTGAGCAACGTTGGTTAGATCTCCATGAATCAGAAGAGCTTTGTTTGGATGCTTATGATTCTGCTAATTTGTACAAAGCTAGAGCCAAAGAGGTGCATGATAAGCTCATTGAGAAGAAGGAGTTCAATCCCGGAGATAAGGTGCTCCTTTACAATTCAAGAATAAGACTTTTTCCCAGAAAGTTGATGTCCCGTTGGACCGGTCCATTCGTTGTTCAAGAGGTCTTCCCAAATGGTGCTATTGAAATTTCTCCTTTGGACCTCTCAAGGACTTTCAAGGTCAACGATCATAGGCTTAAGCGTTACTATGATGGAGTTTTTGTTGGGGTCATTCATGATATGACTCTCTATGATCCACCTTGAAGGGTGGACAACGTCAAGCTAATAACGTTAAACAAGCGCTTACCGGGAGGAAACCTGAGTTTCTAACCCTTTTCTCATTTTTCTTTGATTTTCCTTTGATGCCTTTATTCTCTTTTAATCTTGTTTTCTTTTGTGTTGTAGGTGGTTTTTATTTGATATCCAACAATTTTGGTGCCAATTTTGAGGTAGAAATGTCCAAATTCATGAGTTGGAAAAATGTGTAAGTATGGAGATTGGTGGGTTCTTATGATGGGTTCATGAAATTCTAGTTTTGAACCCACTAAAATGGGGTTTTCCTACTGCCTATGTTGGTGTTTATCATCATCATAAATTGTGTGCCCGCCGTTGTGCGCACTAAATAAAGAAAAAAGAGAGGAGAAGTTCATACCCAGAGAGGTGCGGGCGCGCATGAGGTAGGTGCGGCCGCGCACCCCCCAGGTGCAGGCGCGCCGCCCAATGGTGCGGGCGCGCCGCCCTATGGCGCGGGCGCGCCCCTGCTCGTCTCCCCTCTTAAACCCCACCGATTATCTTTCCTTCTCTCTCTCTTACCTTATTTTCTTACTCATGTTTTCTTTGGTTTTTTATCAAGCATTATCTTCACCTCCATCATCATTTAGTCATTGAAATTTCATCAAAATTCATAATTAACTAGTTTATTATTGCTCTTAGTCTCAATTTTTACACTTCCATGGTGATTTTCTCTTCTCCTAAATTGAGATTTTTTTTGGTACTCTTTGATTGAAGTTTTGAGGTTTGCAATTTGGGATTGTTAGTGTGTAATAGTGCTCTTGTTCCATTTCTTTGCGATTTTTCATCAATTAAAGGTATGATTTCTTTATTATTATGATAAATTTTCTACCTTTATTGTTCATGGAGATTTGATTTGGTTTGGTACTATCCTTATTAGTATACCCATGTTGCTTACTACTTGCTTCATTTGATTATGTTGATGATGAATTGTTGATAAATATATGACTTGGTGGTGTTGTTTTTTTTTTTTTTGCGTTTATTGAAAAGTTTAGGCACTACCATTGTTGGATTTGTTATTTGGTGTTGTTGATTTAGCGATGATGATGTCCATAAGGGTTTGGATGGTCATATGAAATGTTGTTGCTCACTATGCATGATTATGGTTTATAATTGTGGTTTTCTAAGTGTATTTTTCACTTGATTGTGAATACTTGATTATTCCCTTGATTAGTTTGGTCCTTGTGGGATTTGCCATTATCATGCATCAACTTTGCACATCATTTTCCATTGTTATTGAACCTTTATCTTGCTTATGGTGTGTAGATGGCGTCCCTTCGTCATGCAAAAAGGTCGAGATGATCTATTCATAGCAAGGTAGTTTCTCCTCCATCCTACATCAAGGAGACATATGGCATCGAGTTCACCAAGCGAGAACATTGGGACAACTTCTATAACTTGTCACCTCAACAACTCTTTTCCACAAGATTCTATGAAAGGGCGACAAAAACTTTGCTTGGAATTGATGAGGACGTTAGGATGTTGGCTCGGAACTTAGGGCTTGAGGCTTTCATTGATCTTAATGCACCAACATTTTCCCGCATTACATTCGAGTTCCTCGCTTCTCTAGAGGTTCACGAGGATGAGCATGGTGATTCGCCTCCAACTCTAACCTTCCAAGTCTTTAATAATGATCACTCAATTACACTTTCTTTTCTCAATGAGGCATTTTCATTTTCCGAAGCCATTTAATGGGATACTGTATATCTATCCGGCCTTCGAAACTTTGCAAAAGGATCATAAGTACTATGAGGATAAATGGTGGAATCACATAGCTGATGAAGAGGCTTATTGGCCGCAATACTCCAAGTCGGCCTCAATTATTCAGCGGCTATGAGGTATTTTAGTCGTACCCTCACCTATGCTTTCTTCTCTAAGAAATCCCTTGGTGCCATATCCCGAGAAGAGTTAAGTTGGCTTTGGCTAGCGGACAAGACATGGGAAGAAGAGTGGGAAGTCATAGATTTTTCCTCTCATTTACTTGATCGGTTTACCGATATTCGTGATGGGATTTTCCTCTCGGGTAGTATTCAAATAGGTGGCATGGTCACCATCTTAGTGCTTTCACTTGACAAGAAATATGGGCCTATGCTTGAGTCCCTTGAGCCTATACATGATAAGAGGGAGAAGACCCCTTCCCATCTTCTAAGAATCTATGCTTTGATCAATCAAAGTTTTTTGGAGCGCACTACCAAGAAGGATATGTTTGTTTGGAAAGTTTGTTTGACTACGGATTGGTGTCTCATTCCTCACCCCAAAGCTATGGTCCGTGATTTGAATTCGAAATTGCCTTGGTGGCCAAGTAAGATGGCTATTTATCGTTCTATTCGTAGGGTTTCTTTGCCTAACCTTCGTCCCAAGCGTCGTGTTCCCCCGAGTTCTCGGGGAGGTACTTCTAACTCTCCTTCTTCTTCTTCTTCTCCTTCTATTGATTTGTCTATCTTGCATGATAAGATTGATGCTATTTCCCTTGCCTTATCTTCCCCTTCTTTGGGTAATGATTTTTACGGGGGTTATGATTACCATGCTAGAAGAATTTATGATTTGCATGTTTCTAGAGGAAAGATTGAACCATATTTGAACTACCCCTACCTACCGGTCCAAGAGGGACCAATTCCTCAATAGGAACCTTATGATAAGACCATAGCACCCCGCCTTTGTTACCCCTATTAGGAGGGGCCCCATGTGACACCTAGTGCTATCCGGGGGACTACCCGAGGGGACTATGATTATAAGAGGCCGGGGATGTGATTTTGCTTACGATCCGGGTAACCCTAACCCTTTTCCCTTGGCTGAGACCGATGGGAGGTGGGGACTCTCGGGTCCACCTGTTTTGGATGATTGGTCGCATTTCTATGCTTTAGATTTGCTTAGGAATAAGTTTAGGACCAATGGAAAAAGTGCTTTAGTTGCGGATGACGTGGTTCGCCGTGTTGTTTCTGATAATGGTGAGGGGAGCTCTCAGTCTACCCCTTACCATAGTGCCGAGTGAGATCGACTCGGCTACCCTCCCTTCTTGCTTGATTTTCTCTTGTCTTGCTTTTTCATGCCTTATTGTTAGGTTTAGCTTGGGGGGGGGGGGGGTAGCTCATGGTAAGCTTGGGGGTGCTTTATTATATTTGTTTGTGCTTTACATGATTCCCCCTTGCTTTGACGGTTTTTTGGCTTTGTGTTCGGATTTCCTTTCTGCTGCTATCTGTTGATGATGATGTTTTTCTACTAATGATTTTCTGATGATTTCTGCTGTCATTCTGTCGATGATGTGTGATATCTGTCTGTCTTATTGATGATTATTTCTGATGATGATTTTTCTATCTCTGTTCTTCGCCTTTATTTTCTATGTTTTCTTTTCTTTTCTTAACTTTTGGTTTTGTTTGGAAGTTACTAGCAATTTTCTTTGTATATAGTTTTCTTTATTTCTTTTGCTCTCTTTCGGCTATTATTGTCCTGCTTCTATTTTGGAGTTTTATTCGGTGACTCTTATATTCACTCTTTATTCTTGGTTAAGCATGGATTATCCGGTGAGACTTTTCCTTTTTCTTTCTTTTATTTTCTTGGTTGCTTAGATTAGGATTAGTATAGGGGAGATGAATGGTTTGAGGATGTATGTGTTTAACACCTTGCATGTTTGGGATCTTTTAGTGTTGTTGCCATTAGATCACTTGTATTACGATTGGGATTTATGTGTTCATGTGCATTCTTGTTCATTTCTTCATTTCTCAATTCTCCTATTTCTTTGTTCTTCCCTTTTCCTTTATTTTTCTTTTCTTTATCTTCCTCTTGCTTTGTTTATAGTTTTGAGGCTTTTTCTTTTATTCTCTTTTATGATTTGGACTCCATATCACTTAACGTTTGTCTTTGAATGATTCACTTCCTAATTAATAGAGGTTTTCACATTTTGAGATTATGTTCGGTTAAGTTAAGAAATAATTTATGCTAAGGCAGTTGGATAGAACTAAGAGGATTATGAAGCCGGATTCTACTTGATTGTGGCATGTTGGTAGTTGCTCCCTATGGTTGATTTGATGCTAATAGTGAGTTTTTGCTACATCCATGTGACGTTCATTGTTTTTAAAGCCTTCTACATATATTTGCATGAGCGGCATGGATCCTTGACTTTTGCAAACCTAATCTTGAAACTTGACTCATAGTTCTTGAATCCGAGACCGAACCATTTAGGGAGGACAAAGGCATCTTTTCGGAGTGGTATATTTTGTTTTTCTAGGATAGTTATTTTCAATTTTTGTTCCTTTTGGGTTTACATTTGCCTTCTTGCTAACCATTTGAGCCTTTTCCCTTCTTTTCAAGCCACATCTTTAGATTCTTGGGCCTTTTGTTGCTTTTTGTTCCATTTTTGGTTTTTGTGAAGCAATTGGTCATATTTTGGAGATTTTGGTGTATAAGTTTGGTTATTGGTTGAAAATGAAAGCAAGTTCGTATTTTGTGTATATTTTATGAATAATGGCAAGTGAATAAATGAAAGAGCCGTCCAATATAAAAAGGCAAGGATAAAGAAAGTGCAATGTTCAAAAGCCGTCCAAAGTTAAAAGAGGCAAGGACAATGCATTATAAAAAGAAAAAAAAGTGAAAAATGAAAATCCAAATATACTTTGATATATTCTTTTTTTCCATCTAAGCATTGAGGACAATGCTTCATTTTAGCTTGGGGGAGGAGCGTTTACGCCTTTTGTGTATATGTTTATGAATGTAGTTTTTAATAAGCTTGGGGGTATAATGTGTATGTATTTTTGTTTGGTTTGGTGACTACTTGATTGTGATCCTAAGAATTCTCCATTCTTTTGCTTCATTGATTAGGAAAACCACCAATTTCAAATTTTTAGCCTACCTACACCATTTCTCGCCCTTGCATTACAACCTTTGGGAAAGCCCTTTTGACCTAAGTGGTTGAGTCATTCATTGGAGGAGAGGAATGTGAGTTTTAGCCTAAGGAGAGGGGATGCAAAGTCAAGATG